ACAGCTCACCAAAAAGACTCACAGATCATCCTCAGAATTTAACACAAATGTTATCCTTTTAAAAAAAGGGAAAAAAGTTTTAGAATAAATTTCACTGTAACAAAATGGGCAAAAGGAAGTAATTTTATTTTTTTTTTGTAAATTTCGAACTATTCGTATTAAAACATTTATTTTTTCGTTTTTAGAATAATTGAGAAAATTATGTTTGATCTTTTTGCAGTTTGGATTGGTTTGGATACGAATAAGTTGGCACTTGCGAAATATTGTATGTTACAAAGGATTTAAATGTTTATTTATGTTCTTATTTTCATAATAATTTTCATTTAATAGAGTTGAACGTCTCACACACTACTGACCTTTAAAATGTTATAATGAGATTCTTTAAATATAATTAAAGCTTTGTCTAGAGTATTTTATATTGTTCTCATTCAAAAAAATGAATAGGTACCTTTAAGTTATGTCACGGTGATAATAAGAATAATAGTGTGATGGGAATGTTCATTAAGCATAAAAAAGAAAGTATTTTAATACAATAGGTTTACAGGTTCCAAGTGTCTTGGATTAGATGGAGTTAGAAAACGTCATTTACTGCAGATCTAAATATTTTGCGCCTGTTAAATTGTTTAGAACCATTGTTAATTGTTTACATATTAGTTAATTATAACTAAATATTTTGTTATTTTATTCAACTAAAATGTATTGTTATTCAAACCAAAACGTGTTTATTGTCTATACAAATCAAAATGTTGCTGAACTTGCAGAATGAATTAATGATTTTGTTCAATATAATATTATAATTTATTTGTTTGCAATTTGCAGCAAATTAAACACGATAAATCAGTCCAAAAGCAGACAAGGATGGTCAAAACAATATAACACGTTTTGAAATGCAAGCATTTTCATTAAATAAACCCAATACTTACCCAAATAACAATACAAATCTATGATTCTATAATATACTAATTAAGAACACAGTGGACAATCGTTTATTTTTTATAGAGCATCAGAAAGGTAAAAAAGATAGTTAGAATGCTTAATTAACACATTGGCTGCCCAAATAGAAAGAAAAAATTTTCATTTTAGGCTCCAAAGTTTTTTTTATTAATTCATATTTAAAATGCATTAGGTTATTAAATTTTTGAGTTCAGTTACAAAAAAAATATTTTTTCTTGATTTATGACCGTGAATTATATTTAACGCACGGAGCTCTAAGACCAAAATACCACTTCCAGGCCACGTGCATTGTAGGTAACTCACGCAATATACTTTACCTACCGATACAAGTCTCAGCTTGCAATTTAGTTTGAGTAAATATTTCGTTAGAGTAACAGTGCTGTTCGAATTTGTTTCCTATTAGAACTACCTATTCTGTTTATTATGGCGAAAAAATTTGATATTTACGCGAAACAACAACAATATTTGCAGATATTGCATGAGGATGAATACTTTGATATGAGTGATGAGGATGTAGATGATCCTTTCGAAGGTGACAAGTCTGAAGACGATTATATACCATCTATGTCTAGCTCAGATAGTGAACAAGAAGAACCGGCTACCAAAAAATGGAAACGAAAAAGTGCAGAACCATCTACAAGTACTGTAGATCAAGTGATAAGTAGTGTAGTGTTGCGGGCTAGTCGTGAATCATTTAGTGATAGTCGTAAAACTGTGGAACAATCTTCAAGCCGTATCACGGAGACAACAGATCATCAATCTAGTGAATCATCTGAAGACACAGATCACGATGGCATTGAACTTCCTGTTACTCCTACCGAATTTCAAATTACATGGACTGCTGTAACGGGAAAAAATCTAAGGTATTTGATTTCAATGCAGTACATCCTGACATTTCACCTGAAGTTGCGTCGCTATTAGCGCAAAAAGAACCCTATGATTTCTTTAAATTTTTTCTAACAGATGATATCATGATATATTGTAACTGAAACAAAGATATGCTGAGCAGATCAAACAAAATGAAAATATTTCGCAGTATTCAAGAGTCAAAAGATGGAAACCTCTAACAAATTCAGAATTTGAAATCTTCCTGGGTATAATTATGTGGATGGGTTTAAATAAAAAATCTCGACTATCCGATTATTGGTCCAAGAATATCCTGTACGTCAATGATATCAAAAAGAGTATGTCACGAAATCGTTTCGAACTAATATTACGTATGTGGCATTTTTCTAATAATACAGAATGTCCAAGAGGTGATCGACTTTTCAAAATTCAACCCTTAATTGATCGTTTACTGGCCAAATTTCAAACTGCCAGAATTCCGAACAAAAACGTATGCATTGATGAGACTCTGTACCGTTTCGTGGACGGCTGGCTTTCAATTTATATATCAAAAATAAAAAACATAAATTTGGGATAAAACTCTACAAATTATGCACAGAAAATGGGTATACTTTCAATAGATAGTTTACTGCGGAAGAGACGTTTTGGAGCCAGGGATTTCAGCATCATCTTGAGTTGTTATGTCGCTGATGGACGGTCTCCTAGATTGTGGTAGAATATTGTACACAGATAATTTTTATACTAGTATTCACTTGGCTCACCAACTTTTAGATAGATCAACACATCTCATAGGCACACTCAGATCGAACAGAAAATTAAACCCCCAAGAGGTTGTGAAAGCAAAGTTGAAAAGAAATGAAATTATTGCACGAGAAAGTAACACAGGAGTTGTTGTAATAAAATGAAAATATAAAAGAGATGTATAAATGCTTAGTACAGTACACACAGACAGCAAAGTAGAGGTTATGAGTAAAAACAACACAATGGTAGAAAAACCACAAGCAGTGATCGAGTATAATAACTGTAAAGCGTTTATTGACCTTTCAGATCAAATGAAGTCATATTCGAATTCACTACGAAGAGGAGTAAAATGGTACCGTAAACTAGCAGTCGAATTTCTCACTGGATCATCATTCCTCAACCTCTTGCATCCACTGTCGGATATAGGTCTCCTCCATGTTCTTCCACTGTTCTCTATCTTGCGCCTTCTGTATCCAATTTCCGACTGTTTTTCTCAAGTCGTCCATCCATCTTTTTGGTGGTCTGCCTCGGTGTCTTTTGTCTTCTCTAGGTCTCCATTCTATGAGTCTTTTGGTCCACCTAATATCATCTAAACGTGCTATATGTCCAGCCCATCTCCATTTGGCTTGTGTCAAATTGTGTGTCAAATTTGTGGCCAATTTTTTCTATGACATCTGTCACTTTAGTCCTCTCTCTATCCTATTTGGTACCATATCTCTTCTAGTTATTCCCAACATTGCTCTTTCCATTTTTCTTTGGGTTACTCTCAATTTATTTGCAGAATGTTTGGTTAAAGTTATTGTTTCGGAACCATATGTTATTACTGGCAGTATGCATTGGTTGTAAATCTTTTTCTTCAAGCAAATCGGTAGCGTTCCTTTTAGAATATCTCGCATCTTGCCAAATGCTGCCCATCCCAAGCCTATGCGACGCTGGATCTCACAAGTTTGATTCTCTTTTGCTATTCTAATTTCATGCCCTAAATAGATATAGCTAAAGACCTGATGTACTTCGTTCCCATCTACCCTCATAACATCACTTAGAACTAAATTGGTCATGTATTTTGTTTTTTCAAAGTTTATGTTCAGGCCTATTTGTTCTATTGCCTGTTTTAGTTCTTTCATCATTTTGTGAGCTTCATTTAAACTCTCGGTTATAATGACAATATCATCTGCAAAGCGCAAGTGGCTTAAGTATTTACCATCAGTATTTATTCCCCTTTTAGCCCAATCTAGTTTTTTAAAGGCATATTTGGAGGCTCAAGACTGATCATGAGACTGATCCAGGCTCACTGGATCAGTTATTACAAATGCCTACATTATGTATAAAAGTATATCAAAAATAAAATACAAATTACTGGATTCAGAGAAGAAATAACAAAAAAACTATTAGAGGAACAAGTGCCGGAAGAACAAGTTGTACAACAAGAAATTTTACAAAAACAAAAAGAGAAATCATACGATTTCTACCTGGCGAAATCGAATTCAAATATCAGCCACCGTGCTTCCTAAAACTTGCGAAGCAAACAGCTTGATGAATAAATCGGCAAGCGAATCTAAAATTGCATTCCAAATGCCGTTCATCATGGCCAATATTCGTAGTGAATTCGATTTTTGGTACTCCAAACGAAGTAAAGAAATAAAACACAATTACGGTATTAGATTTTGATTCAATGCAGAGCAGCGCCAAGCCGCATATACGTATTTCGACCTCTTTAGGTCTCCCCAGTACGGTATAGCCACTATAGCCACTACTGTCGCTACTTTCTTCGCAAGTCTTGTCTCGCATAAGCCTACTATGTCCCATTTTATAGTCTTAACTCTTCTAGATCTGGCTGATTGACACCTAGTCTATGCCAATAAAAAAAACTCTTCTAGATTATCTTCTGTCCTCATCGCTCTGATGTTATATGTTCCGATGTGCATTCTGTGTGTACTAAGCGAATTCTTGTCTCCCCCAAATTCCACGAGGCAGCCCTTTTCTGGGTGTGGGATTTGGAATAATATACTACACCCACCTGGGGACTGTTTCCGTTCGTTTTAGTATTCGCCATGTCTATATAGTTTATTTGGTTCCACTTTATCGAAACTTGTACATTAAATATAATCGATTGATATTAAGTACAGTTAAACGAATCTGATTGCTTTAAATTTAAAATGTCTGTCTTTTAAATGTGTTTTAAATATGCCCTTAATTACGTTATTGTACTTCAAGAAGCGAAGTTCTTTTCTTTCGAGAAAATTCCAGTCAGCAGGTCTCAGCTTTCAGTATAATATACATAGACGCAAAATCTAGAAATTACGACCTGATTATTTAATTCGGTCATCCAGGCGGTTTGAATCTAAAGCATTTTAGCTTTTATGCGATAAGCAAAGTGTTTATTTTGTAAAGCGATGTACCATAATGAGATATTTGTTATTTAGTTATTTAATTATGTATTTACGTTTAATTATTTTCAGGAAATCATGATATCCCGCATCGAACGCGAAAAAAGTGATCAACTAAAAGCCCTTAGTTCAAAGCTCCTCCTTTTTGAGTCAAGACTGATTCGGAAACAAAAAGACATATCAACGATGTTGAATATCAGGTAATTGTTCAATTATTATTCCCTTTTCTTTTGCAGAAGATCTATAAACAGCATTTTGCTAAGACAACTAAAAACAACAATAATTTCTTCAATTTTTTACTGTTTATTGAAGTAAAAACGATAATTAAGAGTTAAAATGAATAAAACAAAAATAATAACTTACATATTTACGTCATAAATGGTCTAACAAATTTCAAGAAAAAGTTTGGATATTTATTGAGGAATCGACACATCCTTATTGAAATGGTGTCGTTATCTGCCCGACTGTGCGATAACTTTTGAATAAAATTTTACCAAAACTCCAAAAAATATTACCAACTCAATCAGTATTGGTCACCCTAAAATGTCATACATCTTGTCACAAGTATTCTTGGTGTTGTGACTTCCAGCTACTTACAACTCTGCGTAAGGGAGTTGGGATTGATAAGTTAGGAGAAAACGGACGTTAGTAAGAGACATGAGGTGCAGGTCGTACACATACCCGAGAAATACCTACCGGCAAGGCGTTCGTTTCAATGTGCCGATAACTGGGAAAAAAATTTGGGTAGGCGAATATGGAGGGTGTTAGAATTCACTATCACAAACATTTAACCCAAAGCAGAGATGTTTGAGGATTTGAACCACCCGTAATTGGGATGAACAAACCTATTTGCTTAAGGAAGTGGAGTTAGGTTCACCGTCACAAATAGTTGAATTCTGAATCGGAATAGGAAAGTAAGCATTATAAGTAAGGAAGCATTTACTAGCTTTCTTATATTTCAAAAAGGGGCGATAAAATAAAAATATGTTTATAAAGTAGCACAATACTAAAAACTACCCCACCAGTGCCTCAGAGTCTTGGATGGATAGGCCGAACCCGAGTTGGGACCTTAGATCTCGTGAAGCTCTAGGGGTCTCAGAGCCTGAACATCTGAACTGCAATTGGACCCAACTGGCTTTGAATGTAAATCGATCGTTATTTATACTCTGGGCTACAAGCCTTCATGGGTGTAAGAAGCAGAGTTTAAAGTTTTAGCGAATGAAAATAAAAAGTTTAGGTTGAACTACGTAGTGACTACGCTCATTAGTCAGTAACTGACCAACGACAGAAAAGTCAGTTTTGAAACTTGGTACATGGATTCCTCACGGTGGGTGTAAGGAAGAAACCTATTAATTTTGGGGTTCTTCCCATATTTTTACCCTTGTACCTTATTGAATTTGGGGTCAATACGTCTTCTTGCTATAATCTTAGTCGTTTTCTTTTTATTCAAGGAAATATTCTTGAGTTTTGAAACTTGTAATACCAGGACGAATAGATTCCGCGAAAAAAAGAGTCGTTGATGAAAATTTTTGCTAGAATAAGATTCTTGGAAGGATGTGAGTCCAATAATATAGTCTTCTTCCTGGTGCTGATCTGTCATAACAGAAGATTAGAAAAGATGAGGTCTAATTTATTTTTGATACCCTTGAATTCAGATTTTGATCAAATCTCGATATATACCTGGCTATCAGAAAATGGGGGACACAGTGGATATATAAATTGTAGTAATTGTGTAGTCTTTAGGTGGTATTGTAAATATAAAATTAGTGATGTTAATAGTCACAATACTGTTTCAGAGAAACCATCATCCAGCGACAGCAGAAAATAATCGAAACATTGTCAAATCGACTTCAAGACAATGGCCTAGAAATTCCGATGCAAGCGGAAATCACTGAACTGGAATTTGCTTTTCCCGATTTGGACTCCTTGAACGATTCAGACAGCGCAGTGGTTATGGAAGATCTCGATTGTGAAAATACCTACCAAGTACCCAAGTTCAGAAATATGGATGGTGTTACTGTAATGAGGTAAGTCGTTTTTATGTTTATAGCCGTTTATTTATTCCATATTGCTATACGGAGTGGAAACATGGACTCTCGGAATTACAAGAATGAGGCGTATAGAAGCCTTTGAGATGTGGGTTTTTTGAAGGATGCTGAAGATCTCTTGGACAGAGCACGTAACCAACAACGAGGTGCTAAGAAGAATGGGTACTGAGAGAGAACTCGTAAATATTGTAAAAAACAGAAAAACGAGTTATCTAGGACATTTTACAGAGGAGAAAAATACAACTTCCTACGACTTATAATTCAAGGGAAAGTGGAAGGAAGAAGAAAATGCCTCTCTAGTTGAGACACCTTATACATAATTCTATAATTTACAAAATCAAACTTTCCCGGAACACGTGTCAGTCACCTTAGAAATTGCAAAAAACACAAAAAAAGAAGGTATCTTCGGTATTTTCTGTCCGTCATCGCTGTAAACCTCGACCGGAACCTCCACCGCGCACATCCATTTATCTTCGGTATGTCGGTACCCTAACCCGCGTGAGCTGATTCGTTTTCTTTTACAAATTATGTTCCTTCTATATTTTCCCACGACAGCTCTAACTTTTGAGCGTATTTAGTATAACTTTAATTTTCTTGTCTAAGGAAGAGATAATACTTTTTCGTATCTTATGGCAATAACATTTTCTGAATGGGCCTAATATTTAAAGCCGGACCTGTATATATCTGGGTTAAATTAGGATTTATTTTTCTTATTGATTGAACTATGCTAAATATCCGATATTGCCATGAGACCTTATTTAAACTATTCGCCCAGTGTTATCCAAGACCAGACGTGATGATTTCTTAGTTTCCTCGTAAATAGGAACATAAACATTTCCCAATACTTTTGTATTAATTATATTATCTGTTAATGATTTGTTTCATCAATGTTACTGTTTTCTTAACGTACGTGTTTGAAACCTTTTGTACAATTTGAATTTTTACACACAAGAGTTCATTCACTGTGGGTGTATATTTTGTATTGGAATACTTAATTGAGATCGTGTGGCCATAGGGGAAGATTAGATGAAAATAGGGCACCACCGAAAAAAACCAAAATGGACTCTAAAAAATCAAAGAAAAGAAAAGATCGAAACTGGAATGAAAAAAAATCAGAAGCAATTAAAAAGGGACAATTGGATTTTATTATTTGACGAAGGTTAACAGGACAGATAGGCGGGAAGATTGCAGTGTCGTATAATGTCTTGAATGCTATATATTGTGATATATATGATTAGAATTTATATAATCTTGAAGATCATGCTGGATAATGTTACATGATGCATTCAAAAGGTATCCTAAATGTTTATAAGCTTAACATTTATTATTTTATTACTTTTTTATTACACAAAACGTATGTTTATGTAGGAAATATAGAAATTTCTGGTTAATTATTTAAGTAAACAATGAAATAAAATATATGATTATATATATATGCAGAACAATTGGTATAACTCATAAATTATTCTCAATTCAATAGCCTTCGAGAAATTCAATAGGTTCTGCCTTCGAGAAATTCAATAAATTAGATAAAATCTTAAGAGGTTGATTTTTTAAAAGCACTTACTTCGAGCATTTTAGGGTACTTAGTGACAAGTTGACAAAAATATGAGTACAGCCAATTTTAACGTGGGAATTCAAAGATTACAAATTAGCTTTTAAATAATGTCTTCTGTTAAATATTAAGAATAATAAAACAATTATATGAAATATTTAATAAATACTTTTTCAAACAAAGTAGAATAACTTTTAAACTAAAATTGATGTATCGATAGGAAATTTTTAGAGCTTCATAAGACACATATTTTGGAGCAATAACGGAAGATCTGGGTTGGTTTTTATGCGAATTTATGAAACAATTAACGATTTTGTCTTATTTTGCTGTTTTTGGAGAAACAAATTCATTTTACAACTTTTACTGTAACACAAAGGTGGATATTTTACAAATCACAATAAAAATAAAAATTTATGAATGCATTATTTTTCAGATCCATTTCAGATGCAATAGATCCAAACCTCAAATATTCATCAGTGCGACGGAACAATGGCTTTTTGCGTCGTCCAGAGGTGTTGGAAACAGTGTACAGCGTCGAAGAGGATGCTGATAATGATCAAGAAAACAAAAGTGATGCCATTAAACGAAGAGAATCATTTGCGAGTCGAGGAAAATCCAATTGCAATACAGAAAGCCAAGTTATACGCGACAAATCATTAGAAGAGAATGTAATCGTTAATATTAAGAGTAATTCTTTAGATGAAACTATGTCAGACAATCCATCTTGGTCTTATAATAACGAAAAACCGACTGAAGGGACTGAAGATAATTCAAAAAATCAGGTAATACCGAGAAACATTTTTTAGCTATACAAAATGTTACATTTGGTATTTGTTTTGAAGCTACACCTGTGTAGAAATGTCATACTCTTATTTGTACTATTTACAGTAATTGTAAAAATTCATCTAGATTAAGACATGAAATTAAATCATACTTTTTGTATGACTTTCGACATGTATTAACACAACACTATATCTATTACACCGAGTTCTGTTTTATCATAGACTATGGTATTTCACTGGTTTTTCCAATAGTGGAAAGAAACAGGAATGTTTTTTAAAATCGTCTGTTGTACTAGAAAAGATCAATTTCAGACAATTAACTTTACTAGATTGTCATGTTGCGTACCAGAGATTTTTACCATGTTTGGTCAATTGTTATTGTTCTATTCGCACAATTTAGTAATCGCTAAAAATACACTTATTGGCGACGTGCAAGTACTTGGATGTGATACGAGAAACGATCGTGCGCGAGTAGCGGAGAAATCTTGCATTTTTTACTGCAAATTTCATAGATTTCATAAATTCATATTGTCAATTGTCATTTTTCATATCCGTTTGTTTATTTACACCTTCTGTCACTAAAGAAAATGGGATTTAGGAAATGCTGTGTTATAAATTGTAAAAATACAACAAAAAATTGTCAATTTAAGTTTTATTCGTTTCCAACTTCGAAGCACAAATTACTACAAAGAGAAAAGTGGATTTGTATCATAAAAAAGCATAAGTAAAATAACCTAAATTATGCATTATTCTTGCACCCGATTTTAAAGTCAGTTTGTAATAAATAATAAATAAAAGTTCGCTTTTAAGTGTAAATTTTAGTTTCATAACACTCACTTAGAGTTCATTTTAACTCAAACATCAAGTTTAATGTTTAAATTTTATTTTTTGAAGTTTACAAAAATGCATCAAGTTTAAGTTTTTCTGAAGATGCATTAAGATATATTCGCTGTCCAAAAGTTTACAGGGAAAGAATTAATTGTTCAAACCAATATGATGATATCATAGGCTTAACCTGCTAATTTATGCATTAGCATTATTTATGATAATTTATTTTTCTTAATTCTTCCATTCCTTTTTGACATTTGCCACTACTAAAGCTTTTCCATTTGACTCAGTGCTTGGTTGAAAAGTTATTTGGTGATTTACTTTCTCAAATCCAGTTTTTATTATTGCATCCATATTAACAGTAATGCTGTAATTTAATAATATTTTTATTTGTATTTACACTATATACAACGTTTACCTTTTAATAACATATCGACATAACCTCAATCTTACTGTTTCTTCTTATTCTTTTTTGGGCTACGTCCTTGACAGTTATCCGGTAACCTCGATCTAACATGAAAGCGCAGTAAATTTTGCTGATTTACGACATCAGGTATCGCTGTTTCGAACTTGCACGGTCCCAATACTGGTCGATATAAACATATTATTATATTATAACATAGAACAGTCAATTATGAATGGCACACCACCACTTGTTTGCTAGAACTGTTGAAGAGAACTAAGAAAAATTAAATGCCCAAAAGTCCAACGGTACTTCATCATAACAATGTGAGTTGTCACAATTCGACTAAAATAAGTCACTTTGATCTCTTATAACATGGAATAGTTAATAAAAAAATATTGATCAATTATACCCACTTCTAAAAAACTGTTTACACGAAGCTTCAATTGAAGCAGTGGGATATTACGTAAAACCCAAAATAAACAAAGCATAGTTGTGGCATAGCCAAATAAAGGAAGGAATCAGGAAGCTGTAAAATTACTGAAATTTGGAAAAAAAATATAATTCGGGAAACTGTTTTTGAGAAATTGGATACTTTAAAGTTTTCTATGTTGATTCCTTAAAATTATCATCATCATCATCATCATCATCAATGGCGCTACAACTCTTCGTGAGTTTTTGCCGCGTTTACTATTGCCTTCCATGTTTGTCGATCCTGTGCCAGTAATTTCCATTGTCGCACTCCCATTTTCTCTAGATCTTCTTTGACTGCATCTTTTCACCTTTTTCTAGGCCGCCCTACAGACCTTCTTCCATCTGGCCTTTCCCAGAACACATTGTTTATAAGTCCTTAAAATTAGGCAAAACGGTTTAAAAATGTTGCAGCTCGTGGTCTCACCATTTTGATTTTAAAAATACAAAAAAAAAAAAACATTTTCCAAGACATTATAATATGAAAATATACTTCTACGGACCTAAAAAGGCGAGAACTAACAAAAAACCTCAAATTACATTTTTCATTTACACCGATAATTTCAAACGCTCATTTGTGAGAATCAAATGAAAAATCATATCCAAGAGTATTAACGTTAAAACCATCAATATGACGACGTCGATTTAAAACTGGCTCCTTAATTCACTCCAGACTTTAATGTTACCGATACTGCAAAATTTCTTTAAGCATAAGTAATATATACAAAGTTGCTTTAATTCATTACATCGAGCAAAACGACAAAAGAGGGAATCTAATCGTTATGAAAAGGAGACCAAAAAAGTGGCCTCTGATGGCGGACATATCCGGAAATGCGAATGCTCCAAATTTAAATTTTTTCATACAGTGCTGTAGGGTTTCTAATTTATCTATTTATTTATTTTATATTAGATAATATTAATATTACATAGTATTGATACATAATACACTTAAAATACTTTTTTTAACACTAGAACACAATAAAGTTTTAATTAAATAATAACGATAATAGTCTAAAATATGAAACAATTGTTAAAAAAGTTCAATAGAAAATACAAATAATCTTTCATGTGACAGTTGGGATAAACAATAACATCAGCAATAACATAACCCAACTAAATTTGATTTCTTAAACAAGGAAAGAGACTGTCTTTTCTTGTTTAAAGTGGCCTCTCAAGATGGCACTTCCTGTCTAACAATATTTTTGCCCCCACTACCTTTACATTCCCTCTTTTGTCTTTTTGCTCGATGATTCATTAGTGAAGATTTCATTGAAGTATTAAGTACCTAGATAATTAATTTATATATATTTTTAAGAAATTTTTCATATTATCTTTCTAAGCGTGTCATTGACTAACAATTGAATACTAAAGTAGAGAGAACATTTTCATAATATATAAACTTTCATAAAACACACAAAGGGTAGTTTTACTAATCAATCGGGATATTAAAATAGACCAGCCTAACAGTCTATTCTTCTTGACCGGCTTCTTCTTTTGTATTCATTGTATAAAAAGGAAAACTATTAAGTGCATTAGGGAAACCGAATTCAAAATTATTTTTCACATATATTTAAAACGTTTGTTTGGCTAAAAATCTAAATTTTTAAGTAAGTTTAAGATAAAAGAGTGTATAGTTGATTATGTTACACCTTCTGTTGCTTTTATCCAAGCTTATATTGTATTTCTTGTTTTAGGTGAAAAAGTACAATCGCGTGATGTCCAATCACAGATCGGTTACCAAACCGAAAGATGTTAAGTACAAACGGATAAATAAAGCAAAGTCCAAAAGTTTGGAGGAGCTGCGAGGGAAGTTGAAAAATTGGGTCGAACAAGGAACGAAAATATCCAGTTTTTCTCTGGAGCACAGCCAGAGTTATGCCTAACGTTCACATGCTCTGTCTTTCGCTATGCTTTGTACTTAATTGTTTATTTTCATACAAGGTGCGTCTTTATTCAACACAGTGGTAGCTATTTATACGAGACTAGTAGGCAAGAAACGACGTGTACTTTAAAATCTCGATTCTGTGATCATTAAGTTTTATTTTATGTCCCGATGGTACATAAGAAACACAATTTATTAATCGTAACTAATGATTTTGTACCAAAATAGTTAATTGATTTCTCAGAATATACCAATTTATATTTGGTTATAAAAATAAGAATTATTTTTCTTTTCCAATTTTTTTTTCAAACATGAAATGTCATTTTTGTGGTTTCAACACGTTGAATTAACTTACTTTAAAAGTGGAAGTAACTTGGAAGTAAAATATTGTTTTAATTCTTCCTGCACTTTGTGTGCGCTTTCCTGCACTTTGTTAGGCACTTGGTCTTGAAAAACCAGAGAGAAGAAGAAAGCGGTTGTGGAATCAGAATCATGATTCCATTATTTACCTTACACTTTGAGTTCCAATTCTAACAGTTTACCATAATATAACTCTCGAATTGCACTAGCATTGTTGTAGGGAGATAATTACTAGACGGAGACCATAATAAAAATATTTTATAACCTAATAAAATTTTACTTGGCAAACGCCATTTAGGTAATTGATTTAAATGGTAGTATAGTGTGTTCGGAAATACAATATCTACGATTTGAGGTAGAAATAATCCGTAAATTTATTATAACTAAAATAATTAGATATCTTTATAGAAAATGTTAATATATTATACACTAGGGTAGAATATAGTAGAAAGAAAAGTAGAGAATACAATACAGAATAACAAATACCTGATGATTCAGAGACAGGAATTAGTATGATATCGATTTCCTCTCCAACCTTCTATAAACATTTCATTTTTCTCGTTTTTAACGTTTTAGAATATTTCAAATTTTATCTTTTTTCACTACTAATATATCCATAACGTTGACACTAAGAATTTGGACGTTCGGTGGTTTTGACGGTTGGTAGTTTTGACGTACGTTGAGAATTGATTGTCCTTTCATACAAGACGTCTGTGCCGTCATCTTTTAGTCTTCATCGAGTTGTTAACCTTACAACACTAAATATAATTTTATAAAATATAAGGTATAGTGTACAAATGAAATTATACCGCTGTGGTTACAGTACCGCCGAAGAAAGAGAAATAAGAGGGACCGAATTCATTGAATACATCCTGATGAAGTAAAATTCTTTATTCTCGTATGTCAGTTTCATCATTTGACGAGATGAAAGAAGTAATTCAGTAAAATACAAAAATGAGAAACTATATCCAACAATTGTGGAAATGTTGGCTGTTACTTCAAGGTAAATTTTAAATGTTTTATAATAAGTTAATTGTAATTCGTTATGTTTCAATGGTGTCACTGTCGCTTCGGGGTGGAAAACTAAGTATATAAAACCCTTAAAGTCATGCCGAACGCTCTGTTCGATGTTACCTCGTATCTTGAAAAAGACAAGGTATTTCTTATAAACAACGACTAAGGTTGAAAAATAAACCTCAGGTTCGTAGTAGAAATAAAACTGAGCCACAAAGTCTGAACAAGCAACATGCTCTAGGAGAGCCCGTGCCTGGCTAACCTAAAAATCACATATATTTATCTGTGCTGCAATATTTATACCAGCCACAAATAGGGATTTCCATGTTAGCAGCCAATAGGAAAATTCAAGGCGGGACGATGCGCATCGGAGTGCGTACTAGTCCCCAGACTATGGCACTCGATGACATCAGTATGAAAATGAAATATTTATATTGAAAATTCATATTATTGGATTTATAAAAACTACAAAACAAATTACTACAAATAAAACAACGAAATGACCAATACGAAAGTACGTTCATAACTATAGCGTACAACACAAACATAACTATAATATAAAAATGGGTGAATCACATTACAGGAAAAAGTGATTTACTTATTTATTTGAAAAAAAAAACAGAACAGCCACAAAAATGTAAATAAAAATAATATACCAAACCACCCAGCAAAGTACCTTCCTACGACTGAATGACCGCATCATTTGAAAGCATGCATAAGTCATGTATGCTACTGGGTTCGTAATCACGGCACTGCGCCGTCCCTGCTCAATTTATCGGACTCACTTAGCAAATTCTAGTTTTCTGTGTTTTATAATCAATTATAATTCTAACTATATTAGTTGTAAGTAAGAAACAACACAAATACAATATTTTACTAAAACATTAATATTTTGTTCAGTCACCCTTAGCTTTAAGCGTTACAGCCACTCTCATAGGCATGCTATTTATGCATTTTCCTGCGATTTCTTTGAAGTTTTCGGTGTGATTCCAATGGGAAATGATTATTTTATCAACTGAACCTTGTTGGTAATTATTTCTTTGGCTAACTCTCTTTTTAGGCACTCCCAGACATTTTCAATGGGGTTCATGTCTGGTGAGTTGCCGGGCCATGGTAAGAGCTGAATTTCTTGTTCTAACAAAAAATGTTTGATTCTTTTAACCGTATGGCAAGGTGCTCCATCCTGCATAAATATCTTATGGCTGTTACCAAACCATTCGTTCACTTGTGGAACCAATCTTGTCTGAAAACTCTTTTATATTGATCTTGTCGCATAGTTCCTTCTACGACATACGAACGTCCATACCTTTGCCACTAATCACCGACTATATAATTACTGAGGTGGGATGTTTAAAGTTGTATTAATTACACACCCCTTTTCATATTTTTTTCCTGGACGTCTTCGGACACACTGGACTTTGTCATCCATAATTTGAATTGTGGCTTCATCGCTGAAGCAAACCTGTGAATGGGAATAAAAATTATAAAGTGCGAAAATAAAATGATTTGTAATAATTTACCTTACGCCAATCATCAATAGACCAGTCTTTATGGATCTTGACCCAAGCTAAGCGTTTTTTTAGCATTTGTGGTGTTAGTTTTGGCTTCTTAACAGGCCTGTGATGTTTGAAACCCATGCCATACAAATTTCGGCGTACAGTGGCCACCAATACTGAGCATCCTGCTTCTTCCAACTTATTTCTTAAATCTCTATGGGTGGCCCTTCTGTGTGTTTTTTTTATCTGACCTAAATTTTTTTAAAATCGTTGCGCCCTGGGAGTGGCTGAAGGTTTTTTGCCACACCGGCCTTCCGAACTGACAAGTCGGACGACCGGTGTGTTTTTGACTTTATCTTCTCACTGACGACTGGGATACACCACATTTTCGTGGTATCTCTCTCTGACTAAGTGCTGTATTCTCTAATAGAGCAGTAATTGACGAGATTTTCTCAACACAAAGATCTTTAGATTTACCCATCTAAAAATTCCAATCCAAGATTAATCGTCTTATTTTATGATTAAAAATTAACCAAAATCAAAAGTAACACTATTATGTAATAATGTCAATACATACTAGTGCAAATTTTAAATAAACTGACCACAAATCTATGTTTTAAGTAAAAAAACTTAAAATGTAAAACAATTAGTTACTCCACACTTTGAGCACATTCTACTGTCATCTGTAAATTTTCGACAATTCTAAGAAAAATTTATACCATTTTCTACGTAACTATGTACCCAATAGTTATGCATTCAACAGCTTAGTATCCAAGTGAACATACTTTCAGTGTGATTGAAATCAAAGAAACTGAAATTTTTATGGTAAGTCTAATAAATTGAGCAGGTACTGTATGCAGTTGGACGGCAGCACACGGCGATTTCTGCGAGCTTTCAAACCGCCGTGTAATGCGAAAACAACCATGCGATTGCTAGAGTCACTATTGGTCTACATCGCATGATACACTAATGGCGATGTTTGAATTTAAACAGCACCTGGACAAGTCAGTTTCTGAATCTTAGTCCCATTTTCTGGACCGTATATATGATGGTTATTAATAGGATTGGTAAGAAAATAATAAAAGTGGTTTAGGTAATAATAAACGAAATTGTGTATAAAACTGAATTTGTAAAAATGTGTGACTTGTCGATTTTTCCATTTAGACGTCTGAAATATATTTGTAAGTGGTTATTTATCTTTATTGGATATCCTTAAATTAGGATATTATATTTCCGACAAACTTTACTTCAGTTCCCGATAATAACACAGGCTGACAAAATTTGACCCATATTTGGACCCAGAGATCAGAATATACTTTCCAGAAGCTTTTTTGTGCTCTGAATCCGAATCTGAGCTCCAAATTGGCTCTGGTTTCCGAAATATCCTAACCTTAAAGTGCACATTAGCGGTTTTTGGCCGTTTTTGAGGTTATGTAGCATCATTATATAATTTTTCTCCTAGAAACTGTTCTTTAAGAATAAGTTTCAATCATTTAAATGACTTTAAAAACCTACAAACGATATGATTATAATCAAAATTTAACCAATATTCGGACCCAGAGATCAGAATATACTTTTCAGAAGGTTTTTTTGTTCGATGAATCCGAATCTGAGCTTCAACTTGCCAAATTGGTTCTGGTTTCTGAGATATCCTAATCTAAAAGTAAAAAAATAGTGGTTTTTGGCATAGACTTATACTGAGCGCTGTAATATACACGTTCCCCCAGTGCGACAGAGAAAATGGCGCAAAGCAGTCAAAAAACTAAACCCAAATTTATACCCTTTCTTATTATTTATCAATACCCATTTGAAAGAGAAATACTTGAAGGTATTAGCGTATTATTTTAGGATAGAAAAATTTAAGGGGTCTACATAACCTCAAAAATTATTTATACTAACCTAACTTCTAGGTTAGGATATATCAGAAACCAGAGCCAATTGGATAATTTGGAGCTCAGATTCGTATTCAGCGCACCAAAAATCTTCGGATCAGTATACTCTGTTTTCTGGGACTCAAACTTGTCAGCCTGTGTAATTAATTACTGTTAGTTACAGACAGATAAGAAGCGATCTTAGAGAAGATACAATATAAACATTTTCACCCATTTTTCAAGTACGAGAGTTTTTCTAT